GCCAGTGGATGAGCTAGTGGAGGAGGTCGGTAGAAGAAGCCTAGACCTGGGACTGGAGCCATCGGTCCATTGAAACGTCAGCGCTCTTCCAGTCTTCTTCTCGTACTCGCCTCGTACTGGGCCAGCACATGCTCGTAGTAGTTGGTCGGCCTGCACAGTGACATTGTACCAGCCAGCCACTACCGGTCAGCCGCTCGCCCACGCCACGAGCTCGTCCAATGCACTCCTCCCGCCCGTAGCATTCGCTCCAGAGCCTACACACCACAGATCACCACCACAACCACCACCATCTACTACTGCCCGCCTGTTGAAACCTCCCCTCCCGATCCGACTCATCCTTACCCTCTCCAAGAGGAACGCTTTTTCTTCTCTTCTTCTTCTTTTCTTTTTTGCTGCCCTCACCACTCTTACTGTCCCATAAGCATACCGCCACCCTCTTCTCATATTCTCGTACCACAATCGTCTATCCATCCTTCTCTCCGCTCCCTCCTTCTTTCTCGTTCCATCCTCTCCATCCTCTCCCTCTCCCTTCCACGGACGGCGTCGTCATGCGCCACCGCTGACGACTCCCCCAATATAACACACACACGCACGCACGCACGCACGCGCGCGTACACACACACGGCGTAGAAGAAGAATAGAGACAAGACAGAACCATGTTTGCCAACTTTACGAGCATCGTCCAGAAGGCTCAGCAGCTCATCGATCCTACCCAGGGCCTCAACCTGTCCAACTCGGACAGGAATCCGTCCAAGTCGTCCCTCTTCCAGAGCCAGTTCCGTCTCCCCCCCACCCAGAATCCCATCTACGAGATCAATGCGGAGCTCACCATACCGCCTTCGTCGTCTTCGAACTCGGGCTCGAACCCCGGAAATGCCATCCACGGAGGAGACAGGGACCACCAGAGGGGGTGGCATTATGCCGGGAAGCTGCACCTGTCCGAGGCCTACATGTGCTTCTCCACCACGCCCTCGAGCTTCTCCCAGGCGGCCAGCGTGTCCACCTCGTCGGCCTTTACCGGCCAGACGCACGGAGGCGGTCCCAGCGGCAACGGCTTCACCTTTCCGCTCTGTGCCATAAGGAGGGTCGAGAGGTTGAACAGTCAGAATTTTCAGGTATCTCCCGTCCCCTCCCCCCCCCCCCCCTCGAGTCTGGAGTCGGTCAGCTCTGGTGTGTGTGTGTGTGTGTGTGTGTGTGTGTAGACGGCTGACGGTTACCTACCTCCCCCGCCTCGACAGTTCGCCCTAGCCTTCACGACGTGGAACGGCCTCCTCTACGACGACGCAAAGGACGGCCCCAAGGATCGGAGAGACGGTCGGGAGCAGCGGATCATACTACACCTCGCCGGTACACGCCAGGCCTGCGAGCGCTTCTGCGACGGGCTGAAGAAGGGCCTGAGGGCCGGCGTCGGCAACGTCGGCAAGCTGCGCAGCGTCGCCTCCGAGAACTACTCCGAGTACCTGCTCCGGTCCGACGAGAAGAAGAACGCGACGCCGCCCGACGCCGGCCTGGGCATGGTCTTCCGCTACCCCGGAGACCCCAAGAAGCTGCGGGACCGCGCCAAGATGCGCCTGTGGGCCGAGTATCTCCGCGACAACGGCCGCAACTTCACCCTCATCCGCCAGCCCACCTTCCACAAGCTGATCCGCGTCGGCCTGCCGAACCGCCTGCGCGGCGAGGTCTGGGAGGTCACGTCCGGCTCCATCTTCCTCCGCCTCGAGACCCCGGAGCTCTACGCCGAGACCCTGGCCAGGTTCGAGGGCCACGAGTCGCTGGCCATTGACGAGATCGAGAAGGACCTCAACCGCAGCCTGCCGGAGTACCCGGGCTTCCAGAGCGACGAGGGCATCGGCCGCCTGCGCCGCGTGCTGACGGCCTACAGCTGGGTCAACACCGAGGTCGGCTACTGCCAGGCCATGAACATCGTCGTGGCCGCCCTGCTCATCTACATGTCCGAGGCCCAGGCCTTCTTCCTCCTCTCCACCCTGTGCGACCGGCTGGTGCCGGGGTACTACTCGACCACCATGTACGGCACCCTGCTGGACCAGAAGGTGTTTGAGTGCCTGGTCGAGCGCACCATGCCCATCCTGTGGGAGCACCTGGTCAAGAGCGACGTGCAGCTGTCGGTCGTGTCGCTGCCGTGGTTCCTGTCGCTGTACATCAACTCGATGCCCCTCGTCTACGCCTTCCGCGTCCTCGACGTCTTCTTCGTCGAGGGCCCCAAGGTGCTCTTCCAGGTCGGGCTGGCCATCCTGCGCATCAACGGCGAGGAGCTGCTGGACGCGGCCGACGACGGCACCTTCATCTCCGTGCTCAAGTCGTACTTTTCGCGGCTGGACCAGTCGGCCCACCCCAAGTCGGAGAACCCCAAGCTGCGGGCCGTCACGCGCTTCCAGGAGCTCATGGTGGTGGCCTTCAAGGAGTTCTCGTCCATCACGCACAGCACCATCACCGAGCTGCGGCTCAAGAACAAGGACGCCGTGCTCAACAACATCGAGAACTTTGCGAAGCGCACCGCCCTCCGCAACCTGGGCCCGGACAGCAAGCTGCTCAGCCCCGAGGAGCTGGGCGCGCTGTACGACCGCTTCTACAACATCCTGTACGACCGCCAGCAGCGCAACATGGTGATGCAGCAGGAGAGGCAGAAGCGGGCCCGGGCCAGCCGGGTGCGGGCCTCGGACATCTTCTCGGGCAGCGCCGCGTCGTCGGCGCCGCAGAGCGAGGTCGAGAAGGGCCGCGTCGGCCTGGGGCCCAGCACGAACCTGATGGACTACGACGCCTTCCGCGAGTTCCTGGCGTCCATGGCCAAGTGGGCCATCTCCGACTCGCCGGGCCAGTCCCGGCGCGACTCGCTGGACCGCGGGTCGGCCCACAAGCAGCCCCCGAACCGGCCTCACCACCGTCACCACCAGAGCGCCCGCCGGCCGACGGCGGCGGACCTGATGCTGTCGGCCTGGGGCGCGGGCCCGGAGCCGGCCGAGCACGAGTTCCTCGGCCGGCTGTTCCGCAAGTGGGACGTCGACGGCAACGGCGAGCTGACGCTGCAGAACGTGGTCAACGGGCTCGCGCGGATCAGGGGCAGGCGCGACATCATGGGCATCATCACCTACTTCTTCGAGCTGTACGACGACGACGGCGACGGGCGGGTGGACCGCGAGGGCATACTGCGCATCTCGGAGACGCTCCTGTTCCTGTCCCGGCGGGGGCTGGAGGGCACGCTCAGCCCGGGGGCGTCGACGCTGGCGCTCAACGGCGACGCCAGCGTCCGCGAGTCGCAGGGCAGCCTGCAGCCCGGGACGTCGACCAACGAGCGGTTCCTGGGGAGCGTGAGCGCGTTCATCCGACGGTGCTTCGAGTACGCGGATCCGGATCACCCGGGAGCCGGCCCGGGAGCCGGCGCGGCCGCCTCCTCCTCCGAGGGTGAAGGGGCCGACCTGGTCGACGTCGGCACGGACGGCACAGACGAGCGGGACGCGACGGAGAGGCCGAGCGGCGACGGCGACGGCAGCGACAGCAAGACGGAGCAGCGAGCCAGGTCGGCCAACGCGGCGCTCGACCCAGCTCACCCGCTGCACATCACGCTCCCGACGTTCAGGATGGTGGTGCTGGCGGACGAGCTGCTGGAGCAGTTCTTCGAGTCGTCATTCCCGACGTCGTTCCACGTGATCGAGGGCGTATCGCAGGCGGCCGCGGCGTCCGGCTCGTTGACGGGCGGGCTGACGACCTTCTCGAGTCTCGGATTCGGATCGTCCAGGCCTCACGGCGGGTCGACGTCGGCATCGGCCAGCCGCCACCCTGCCGGGTCGGCGGCGGCGGCGGCGGCGGCGGCGACCGGAGGAGGAGTCGTCGGCGGACCTCCCGGTGGCAGGGGTCTGCGCGGGGTCATGGACGGCATCATCACGGACGGGATGAGGGTGGCGACGGAGGTGAGGAGGCGGATGGAGGAGGCGCAGAGGGAGCTGGAGAAGAACGCGACGGCGACGGGACGGCCGCTGGCGGCGGGGGCGGACGAGGACGACGAGGACGACGAGGACGACGACGTCGGCGTGGCGATCGGGGTTCGCAAGGGGCCGTCGAGGAGCGGCGCGGACGACGACGGCCGGTCGGTCAAGTCCTCTGACAGGGATCTGCTGACGGGTGCGGAGGCCGATGCCGGTGCCGGGGACGGTGCAGGCGGAACCGGTACGGCAACGGCAACGGCAGCGGGAGCGGCGGCGGCGACGACGGCGGCGGCGGCGGCAGCAGCAGCAGCAGCAGCCGGGGCTGGGAAGGATGGGAGGAGATTGACTTCCAGTGAGGGTATAGTAGAGTTTGAGGGGTGATTGACGTATTTCAGGCATTGACTGTGTCACAATCCTTCCTCGTCTCCTCTCTTCTTCTTGTCGTTTTTTTGCCCCCCTCTCTCCTTCTCTTCTACTCTATCTCTCCTTCTCTCTCTCTCTCTCTTGCTTTCTGCTTTCGTTCTCCTCACCGTCTACGTCTTGATTTGTCCTTTTTATTGCCTTTTTATTGTACGAAAGGAGTCTACAGGTTACAAGTATTGGTATGGGATTGTTGAGGGGTTTGGGTACGAATAGTCGAGGATCAAATATACATACGTCTATATATACATATATATATATACATATATATATATACATATATATATGGAAATTGTATCTAGATCTGCACCGAGTGAGGATGCAGAATATATGTGATTGATGACGTCTGAAAAAGATGTGGTCCAGGAGTTGGTCGTCCGGGTCTGGATGCCGAGACTATCCCAGAATCAGGATACTAGATGTTGAGGCTATCGAAGATTCCGAGACGACTCCATGCATACGCTATACATATGTACGGATTGACACGTGACAAGATGTCTGTCTTTACTGATGATGAGATTGGTGCAGGGTATCTGGAAGTATCGTCAGTCGAGAGGATCGACGCAGGATGATCGAAGACGGGAAGGATGGAGACGAGCACGTGCTTCCCAGCGGTGAAGCAGAGGAGCCGAAGCGGAACACGCGTAAACCAGTGAGCGGGAATGCCCCCAGACACGGGATATTTCCGGGGAGTCGCGGGACGCGGAATTCAGGTGGGAAGAGAGATTAAAGTCAGAGGCAGAGACAGAGATGCTATCCAGCATTTCTTTTATTTGTTTTTTGACCAGGAGAGCATGCCGTGTGTCTTGCATACGTCGTGCGGACCTAGTCCTAGTCCTACCTGGTGACGGTACCAATATACCGATACACGGAGTATTGATAGTACTATATAGCGCTGCAGCCTGTGCACTATACCGAGTGTTGATGCATGCACCGTACGGAGTAATCTGCACGGATACAGATCACGGAGCACCGGTACAGATGTGCAGTGACGTGATGTTACCGAGAGGGCATACAGATTATACCTGTACGGTACATCCGTCACTCGACGGATGTGGATTGTCTTCTACCTATACTGATGATGATGCCTGTACGGTATGCACCTCTGGTCATACGCGGGGGTCTTTGGGTCTTTTTCATCTATCCATCGTCATCACCATCTATCCACCCTCTTCCTCTTCTTTTCTCTTGCCAAGCAAAGCCGAGACAAGCCGTCATGCCGTGAACGGACGTTTTGCAGGTAGATGGATCATGGTGGTAAAGCGTAGGGAGCATTAATCTATACGTCGTACGTATTGATAATAATATACTCCGTACTCGGTACTCGGTACCCGGTGCAGACTACAGATTACAGATTACAGATTACAGATGAATACGTACCGTAATATTTCAATACGTGCAGACCCAGCCTCCGGGGCATCCCCCATCCCATTCCCCACCTGGTAATTCCGTATTGCTTCTGACGACTGACTGTGCAGGCAGGCAAGGTCTCCTTTATTTCCCGGTCCCTAGTCGAGGTCTCCCTCCCTCCCTGCCAATCCCTGCCTCTTCTTCTTCTACCCTGGTCTGCAGATCTCAAACCTGCCGAGTAAGGGGAATGGATGGTCGACAGTCGCGAGTACCCATCCGCTGCTCGGTGTACCGTACGTGCGTATGTAGTAGTGATGTGTAGTGATGCGCGCTCGACATGTACGGAGCAGTATGGATTGATACGTAGATGTAGTGGTAGCGGAGAATGGAGAGTACATTGCAGCTGGGCACTCTTCGTCCTGATCGGCCTTGTCAAATCTATCTATCTGTTTCCCTCTCTCACAATCCCCTACATGTGCATGATATAGATGATATAGGGAGAAGATGTACGTTTAGAACGGAGAACGATGGAACGTCAGCCAACCCCAACCCCGGCCCCCCCCCCTTTTCCCTAATATCCCCCTCTGCCCCGCCCACACGCTACCCACTACCGAATAGACCCAGGGTTTTTTTTTTGTTGAGCACCTCAGTAGCTGTAGCAGCACCACCAGCATCAGCACCAGCACCAGCACCAGCACCAGCACCGGCACCAGCACCGGCACCACCAGCACCAGCAAGCAGCAGCAGCAGCAGTGACAAGCAATGTCCGGAGACAGGGAGCATAATCCAGAGAAGCCATAGCACCCCCTCACCCTCTCCCTCTCCCTCTCCCTTCTCCGCTACCAAATTAATCCGCATCCGCCTTTCTTCCCTTCTTTTTTTTTTTTTTTTCCTTCCCACTGCCGTGTTACCCTTTCTTTCCACCCTTCCTTCTTCCCCGCCCCCAACAAACAGATATAAGACGAAGGGAAAGGAAGGAAACAGTCCACAGTAGATCGGAAGAAGATGGCGGGATATGACCCGTTCCGGCCAGGTACGTTTATCCCTTATTCGATATCCTGTATTCAAAACTCCAAAACCCCCTGATCTGCCCGCTTGCAACATGCACGCACCGCCGCAACACGCAACACCCTCTCCATCATGTAAAGACGAGTCCCCTATACGCCCGATGCCTATCTATACAGGGGGGGGAGGGGGGAGGGGTTGCTCTCTCTCTTTGTCTGTCCCCCCCCCCCNATGTAAAGACGAGTCCCCTATACGCCCGATGCCTATCTATACAGGGGGGGGAGGGGGGAGGGGTTGCTCTCTCTCTTTGTCTGTCCCCCCCCCCCGGGTTACCCTGATTGGCATCACATCCCCCCTCCCCCCCCCCCCCCCCCCCCCCCCCATCAAACCAAAACGTCTCTACCCATAATTTACTACTCTCCCTCTCTACTCCTCTCCTCTCCCTCTCTCGCCTTCGAATCAGGTCATTCTGTTGCGTGCCGACTCGTCTCGTACCTGGTTGAGAACCCACCCCGTCACCACTTTTTCTAACGAGAGGAACCCCCAAACAGAACCGGCCCCCTCACCAGGCCTGAGCATCAACCTCAACTCCAATAACCCCTTTCGCAATCGTGCCGCCTCACCGGCTTCGCCATTCGACGAAGCCTTCTCCAGCAGGCCCACGTCCAGGAACCCCTTTCTCGATCCGGCCCAGCAACCCCAGCAGCAGCACACGCTACAGCCCCCGTTCCATTCGCCTCCGCTGCCCTCGCCCGGCGCCATGTCTACCTTTTCCGATCACAACTCCATGTCGGCCGAGGACATATTTGTACGTCGAGCCTCGATCTCTCGTCCTCCTCGCTCCCCCCCCCCTAACTCCGCGCCCCCCCCCCCCCCCCCCCCCCCCCCCCCCCTCCCCGCATCCCTTTCCTTGCAGACGTCTCCTTCCGCAGACTAGTCCGCCGACTGGTCCGCCCCGGGGCAGCTCTTCCCCTCTCCCGACGCTGACATCGGCCGGCAGAACTCGATGACCCTCGACAGCAACAAGCCTGCTCCTGCTCCTGCTCCGAGACAGCCACCCCCTCCCCCCCCCTCTGCATCCCAACAGGGTATCCTCATCGACCTCGACAACGACAACGACCGCTCCTCCGACCCCAAGGCCCGCAGGATGCCTCCCCCCCCGTCGCGCCCCGGCGGTCCCTCGGCCTCCCCCTCCAGACGACCGCCGCCTCCCCAGCCTCAGCCGCAGCGGTCCTCCCGGGCTCGACGTAACTCGGACTCGTCCATACTCGACTTCGACACGATGCCCCTCACCGAGGAGGAGAAGAGGATGATTGCCCGTCGCCGCGAGCGCGAACGTCAGAAGCGGGACGCCCCCAAGCCGCCGGCCGGCCCCACCGTCGGGGCCACCAAGGCTGCTGCCGCCCCTGCTGCCGACGCCACCGCCGAGAAGTCGGACAGGCGGGATGCGCGTGAGCGGCGCGAACGCGACCGTGAGGGCAAAACCAGGAGCAAGTCTGGGAGGCCCAACCGCCGCGTCGACATCATCGATCAGCTCGATGCCACGGGCATCTACGGCACAGGACGTACGTTCCCCCCACACCCCAAAACTCGCACCGCCCCTCGGGCCATCTGCGTCCTGGACTGGTACGGACCGTTCGGGAGCGCACGGGACGCATGGGCAGGTAAGGATCGAAAGCTGACTCACCTTCCCAGTCTTCCACCACGACGGTCCCTTTGACGCCCTCAACCCCCACCGCAACCGGAACACGAGCCGCAGGGCCCCGATGCAGGCCTTCCCCAAGGACTCGCTCAACAACTCGCTCGGCGGATCCGGCCCGCTCAACAACCAGGCCGACCACACCCTCTTCATGGGCCAGGGCGACGACGACGCCGCCTTTCGCGACTACGCCTCCAAGCGCGTGGCCGCCGCCCCCCGCCTCGACGGGGACGTCACCATCTTCAACCCCACCCAGCGCATCGACGCCATCCACGGCGACGAGAGCGAGGGCCTGGGCACGTCGACCTTCCTCGAGGGAGCCCCCGCAGCCCGCTCGGCCATCACGCGCGACCTCGCCGAGAGGCAGCAGCAGATGGCCGAAGGCGGATCCGGCGGCGGCGGCCTGCAGCGCAAGAAGTCGCTCGCCCAGCGCCTGCGCATGAACAAGGGCGGCAGCAGCGGCCACCGCGTCATGTCGCCCGACGCCTACGGCGGTAGGTCCGCCAGCGTCGGCACCACGGCCAGGGGCGACCCCTTCGCCGAGGAGTTCTCCCGCGGCGCCGGCGAGGAGTCCCTCAGCCTGCGCCCGCGAGAGAGAGCCATGTCTCCCGACGCGCCGGTCCCCGCTCCGCGCCGCCGTGCCGCCTCGGGCGCCGCCCTGGAGCGCCGGTCGACGGCGGACGCCAGCATGACCAACGACGACGGCGCCGCCCCCAAGCCCAGCGGCATCCTGGGGAGGATGAAGAGCCTCAAGGGAGGTCGCAGGCCCGCGAGGACGGCCGAGAGCGCCGCCAGCCCTCCGCCGCCCACGAATCACGGGGCGGCCATGTAGGGACCGAGGGAGGGCCGCTGTGCTATGGACGTTCAGACGGGAGACGGGCCTGTCCGGGGAGTGGACCGTGCACCCGACTCCTCTTCATCGATATCGAGGCTCGTCTCTATCCTCTGCGCCCCATCCCTGTGGGGTCTTCTCAGGGTCAAGGACCAAGTTTTCGACGGCAGCATTCTTGTCTGTCGACGGCGACGAAGTAGCGTGTATATATCTGGGCTTCTACCTGGCCTCTTTTTTTTTTCTGGTGCCTTGTCCTGCCTGTTTTCTCTATTCGTCTTCTTTCCTCTCCTCTTTCTTCTCCCATGTATTTATTTGGTTCTCCTTCGTTTCTCCTCACCTCGTCTTTTTTTTTTTTGTTACAGTATCATTGTCCTTGGAAAGGAAATGGTGTGAGGGAAGGACCGTGGCAAAGATGCGGGCCAAGTACAGGGCCATACATAGCATGACGTATGCTAATATACGGGAAGGGCTGGGCCCGAAGGTGGAAACTCTCTTCTGTTTCTGTTGCTGGGTTGCCTTGAAGTGTAGATCTGATGGTCCGAGAATTGCGCTGCTGTAGATGTATGCCACGCCTATGCGGCCCTATCTAGGCCTGACGTAATCGTCGCCTTACGGAGGGCTAGGATAGTATGATGAAGGAAAGAGCATCGAGATGGAACAAGTTGAGGGGGAAAAAAAACTTGTACACTTTGCTACTATGAGAATTGAGATCGTTGCCGATGAAAAAACAAAATTCGTCATGGTCTGATTGTTATCAGGTTATCTGCATAGGACTTTACACAACGTACCTGAAATATAAAACTTACCACCTATTTTGGAGAGGTGATAATATAAAGCATTCTTCGCCTCCCCTGGGGCCCTTCCCGTACCTTTTCTCCCTTTTTAGACCATCAACCGTTTACTTGTATGGGAATCAAATCTAGGTCAACTTGGCGGTGGATATATAGGGTAGGACTCTTTTTTTTTTTTCTTTCCTGTATTTTGATTTATCGAATCCTCTTGTGTTGCTATAGTGCGAGTATATATATATATAATATGGTATGCATGTATTACATAATACTCATTCATCATTTTGCCTTGGGACCTCGTACTATTACTACTACTACTACTACTACGACGAATCGATAGATGACATAAAAAAAAAACCCTGAAACCAACCGACAGGATGAATCCGACATGGGGTCACCACCACCGACACCAACCGGACTCGTTCCGGCCACGATCCTGGCGTCCAGACAGGAAGCCAGGAGGGAACGTCAGTCCAGACGAGGGAGGGTGAGGTGCGGAACGGATGGTGTAGATGGGTATATCCTGCGAGGAGGGTTGGAGAGGGGTACGGTGGTGGGAATCAGTTCTGATGTGGAACAGTTTGGACTCTTGGTGAGTTTCTTCTTCTTTTTTTCTTCTCCCACCCTGTTTGTTTTTTCTGGTTCTTTTCCTTCCTTCTTTCTTTCTGTCATACGAAGTTTCTTCTGTCATAGGAGCCTCTCTTCTTCTGTTATTGAAAAAAAAAAGGAATCCACCTCAAATATATATATATATATTGATATTGTTTGGAGAGAAAAAAGAAGAAGAAGAAAAAAAACTAATCGTAAACGTACCGCCACAGCTTGGTGTTCAATTCCTCATCGAGACTCTACTCGATGGAGAGGATGACAGGATACTGATCGTGACGCCTAGACCGCAGATGGAGATTGTCAGGTTGGTGGTTGACGGACTCGGTGCTGCCGTGGCGAGCGGAGCGAGGACCCGGAGTGAAGAAGAGGTTCGTCGAGAAACAAACGGCACGGACACTGCGAGCGAATCGAGGACCAGAAGTGAAGAGAGGACCAAGAGAATACTCGACAGGCTGAGCATATCCCGCGTATTCGACATGGACGGTCTATCCGAAGTCTTATCAGACCTAGACAGCCCGTCAGACCAAGGAACACGAGCACCAAGAGCACCAAGGGCACCATCCTCCGAGATAAAGGACAGCCAAGATGATGATGATGACGACGACGACGACGACGACGACGACGATGCCAATACCAGCAAAGACGACAAGACCGGCAGAGACGATCAAGATAAGCCATCACCCTCCATCATCATGATAACACACACGGCGACCCTCCTATCTAGCCTGTTCGCCCACCGCGGCCCCAAGACGGCCCACGCCACGCTGTCGCACCTGTCGCGTAGGATGACACACCTCTCCCGGACATTGCCTTCCTCTCCTCTCGTAATATTGCTCAACGGGAGTACGACTTTCTCTGTCAAACAGCAGCAGCAGCAGCAGCAGCAGCAGCAACAGCAACAGCGACGAGATCAAGATCAGACTCTCGCTTCTATATTCTCCGGAGGGCCGGCTGCATCGGCGAGACCTGCCTATGGGAACCTGTTTGCGCAGATGCTCGATCTGCACCTATTCACTGTACGTACCATGCTGTCGGAACATCGTCGACAACATCAACCTCCAGAGCGGCAGCAGCAGCAGCAGCAAATCATGACGATACAGGTCCTGCTTGATAATGTTGGCCTTTGTGAGCAGAGATTCGGTTTGGTGACGGTTCGTCAGGGGAGGGTGATTGATCTACCATGACATGTCGTTATAAAAAGAATGGTAACAGACTACTTTTTTTATTCCTCTTGACGAATACGAAATCATTCTACTATAGAAGAAAAATACGATAGTAGAGACTTGCTATTATCTCTCATTATTACTCTGATTTTTTATTTATTATTAATTTTTTATATATATACAGAGACAAGCACACACATACACACACATGTACACACACACACACACACACACATATATATATATATATATATACATTCATACACATACACATATACATATACACATGCGCACAAGGACAACAAAGCAAATGCCATTTATCCAGAAGGAAATGATGATGATAATAATAATAATGATAAAGAAAGATACTCAAAAATATACCCTCGCCACATTGAAGTAGCAACGCTAGGTTGAAAAAAAAAAGGACAACCAAAAGAAAAAGTGTTGTGAAAAAAAAATAAAAAATCAAACGGATAAAAGGAGAAAGCAAAGAAAAATAAAAATTGTAGGCTCAAACTTGAATCTCTCACCAAATATCTTTCTTTCCAAAAAATATATCAACAACCCCTCATCCTTTCTTCTTCTTTCCTTTCCACCCCCCCTTTCTCTTCTTCTCTTCTCTTCTCTCCCATCCCAGCATTAAGCCACATGATTGTAAGCCGTCTCTCTCTCTTCTTCCCCCATCTACAATTCCAATTCCTAAATGTCCTTTTTTTTTCTGCACTATGAACTTCTTTGTACATTACTTTGCACATCTCATACATGAGAAGAAATATGAAGAAAGAAGAAGAGAAGAAATGAGAAGAGAAGAAAGAAGGAGAGGGAAAAAAAGATATCCAAAATGTCGACATGGGACGAGCAGCATCTTACTGAATAGCAGATCCTGATCCTGCAACGGGCGGCATCTCGGATCGACGATTGCTCTTCCAAAAGTCAATGGCCTCGACGATATCTTCTCCTCGTTCGCCTTCGTACGCAAAGAGGATCTTATCACGGGATGTCAGCAACCATTCCAATAGATGGTGAGAAGAAAAAGAAAAGCAGCAAGAAAGACACGGAAGAAAAGAGGAGAAGAGAGAGAGAGAGAGAGAGAGAGAGAGAGAGAGAGAGAGAGAGAGAGAAGAGATAGAAAACAGAGAGAAATGACGGGAAAAAAGACTCACCTCGTGTGTACTGCTGTGAAGCATCCTGAGATTCCGATGAGGTATGATGTGAACAGCACCATTCTCAATGTTGCGCAGCTCGATAAAGTTTGGCTCAAACGCCAGGATCCAGGGATAGCTGAGGGCAAAGTTGGTCGGCGTACCCTCCCAGTCGATGCGCCACTCGGGCCTAGCCCTCCATCCGTTGCGGTTGACGAAGAAGGAGAACTCCGAATAGTTGAGGAGGAACTCGCCGTTGAGGCGCTCGATGTGGATGGGCCTGACGCCCTCCTTGCGGGCCACGAAGTCGAGCGACGTGTCGGCCTGGTCGAGCAGGGACTGCGTCTCCAGCGTCTCCAGCGACACCACCTCGAACCCCCTGGCGCACGCCACGCACAGCTTCGACTTGAGGAAGTGCACCGACGACGACTCTGTCGGTATGTAGAACTCCTTGAACGGCCGCAGCTCGTCGTGCCCTCCCGCCATGAACTTGCCCAGCCCCTTCTGCTTCTTGGCCTTGGTCATGGCGTCGTTGGGCTCGAACACCTTGATCGTGGTCGACAGCGCCGACGACTTGACGCAGCACACGAGGTGCCTGCCCATGCAGATGCCCGTCTTGAAGAAGCTGCAGTGGTTCTGGATCTTCTTGCCTCGCTTCGACAGCGCCGGCTCATCCGGGCTCAGCGCAGACACGGGGTATGACAGGAGCGTCTTGTTGGACAGCACCAGCAGCAGCTGGTACTCCTCCAGTATGTCCACCTGCGTCACCGTGGTCGCCTCCAGCACCTTCTTGGGCAGCTGCTCCTTGTTCTTGCGATCCGACACGTATATGCCATTGTCCGTTCCAAATATGAGTTTACGGCCGCCGTCTGTTTTTGTTTTTGCTCTTGTCAGATTCCGTCATCGAGGGTGAGGGGGAGGGTGAGGGTGAGGGGGAGACATACCAAACGGCGTAACACAGTTGATGTGATTCGTCCCGACGAAGAAGTTGCTCGATATGACCGTCGTGTCGAGGAAGTCGGCCCTGTCGCGCAGACGCTGCTGCGCGCTGTCAATGTACTCGAGCCACTTCTTGCGCGCGGCCTGGTTCGACGCGTAGACGGCGAGCTCGTAGCCCGCCTTGCCCAGGTGGCGAAAGGTGATGGGCCAGCCCTCGCCCTTCTTGTGGTCGGCGTTACCCGGGCGGATCGACGGGATCAGGCTGGACGACGACCGCTTGACGCCCTGCTGCGGTATCACCTCGTCCATCTCGCGGATCGACAGGAGCTCGAGCGGGATGGGTCGCCGGTACGCCTTGACCTCCTCCTGCTTGCCGTTCTGCTTGATGCGCACCAGCAGCACGGCGTGGTCGAAGAGGAAGGCCGTGATCTCGGCCGTCGGGTCCGTCGGCGACTTCTTGAACTGGCTCTTGAAGACGAGCTCGCGACCCTCCTCCGTCAGCCGCAGGTCCACCCGCTCGTTGGGCCGGAAGCGCAGCTGCTCGTGCAGCTTGCGCAGGTTGAACCGGTTCTCCGCCTTGCCCGACTCGGCGTTGACCCGGCTCAGCAGGTCGCGGATCAGCACCAGCACCTTGGGGATGTCCTCCTTGTCCGGGCTGCCGTCCTCGGTGTACTTGAGCACGTTCTCCAGCAGGAGCGGGTATCGCGCCAGGCGCGTCGTCGGCTTCGTCAGGTAGCCGTTCAGCTCTAGCTTGCGCGACTCCTTGCGCCGCTCGATCTCGTCGACAAACTTGGAGAAGTACTGGTTCGTCGACCGCTCGTTCTCGAACGCAAACTTGGCCTCGAGCTGCCGGGATCCGTACCAGATGAACGGCTCGAACTGCGGCACGTACTCGAGGAACTTGTCACCGATGTTGTGCACCACCGGCTCCTTCTGCTGCCGCGCCGTCAGCGCGTTGGCCAGCCGCGAGCTGACCGTGTGCAGGCTCGGGTGGTCGACAATGTTGCTGAAGATGTTCCTGACCACCTTGTCCCGCCGGTTGGGCGGGATCGGCGACGCCTTGGACCGCAGCGGCAGGATCCAGAAGTCGCGCAGGTACTCGAGATCCTTGACGAAGTCTCGCTCCGTGTAGCAGATCTCCGAGATGACCTCCTGCCTCTTCTGCTCCTTCTCCGACACCGTCTCGGCAATCTCCTTGGGCACCGAGTTGATCCACAGCTTCTGCTCGTCCGTCTGGTCGGCCTCGTCGTCGTTGATGTTGGCCGACTCGGGCTTGCGCAGGCCCAGCCCCGGGTTGATCTTGAGGTTGAGCCTCGACACCTGCTCCAGCCGGCGCGGGCAGGCGATGGAGTAGCAGAGCTGATCGCGCGTGCACGTGGGCGAGTAGCACTCGGACAGCAGCACGAAGACGCCGTTGACCGACGCCTTCTCCTCGGTCTGGTCCTCCATCAGGTTCTCCCTGAACTGGTACATCTCCGCCTGCGAGTCCCTCAGCCTGTGCTCGTACGTGACGTCGTGGAAGTACTTCTGCGCATCCAGGGCGCGGCCCAGCAGCAGGGCCAGGTTGCGGTCTGTCGTGCGGATGATGTACGAGAGCACGTCGACAGCTTCGGATCCGCTAAACGCGTTCTTGTACGTGAGCTCGTTCTTCGTCCGCTCGCCCGTGATGATCTTGCGGCGGAAGCATTCGGCCACCTTGGACAGCAGGGCCGGGTAGACGAGGGGCGGTCGGATCTTGGTGGCCGTGGGTGGTCGCTCGCTCTCGATCGACTTGCTCCTGGACGGACGGTGCGCCACTATGGTGGACGCGTCCGACTCGGACGGCGTCACGGTAGGGGCCGTCGACGCCATGGACATGGTCCTGGAGTGGTCGCCGTTTGACGACACCATGCTCGTCGTCCTGGTCTGCGAGCCGGGAGCCCCAGGATAGCCGTTGCCGTAGCCGTTAGCGACGGCCTGGGCGGGCAGCTCGGCGGGGGCTCTCCGGTTGGGGATGACGCGTCCGCTCATGGTCTGGTGGTCCTGAGGGTGGTAGGAGCCCGTCATAGACATGGACCGGTCATCGTGACGATCCGGGACCACCCTCCCCTGCGCGGTCGTCCTCGACTGCGAGTGCTGCTGCTGGTTGTAAGGAGCCTGGCGGGAGTGGTTGGCCGAGGACTGCTGGTACGAGCTCGGAGGGGGGTTGTAGGCCTGGGGGCGAGGAGCCGACATCATGGACTGCGAGCGGTACGAGTCGCTGTTCAGGGCCGGAGCCGGGGCCTGCTGCTGGCCTCCCGGGTAGGGCCGGGGAGGGGGAGCGCCCTGCCTGGCACCCACGGCACCGGCCGGCGGGCCCCTCGGGTCCATACGCGGCGAGGCTGGAGGCTGAGCATAAGGCCGCCTTCCCGGGGGTGGTTGCTGGTACTGTGCGTACTGTGCGTAGCCGGCGCCCGGCTGCCCGGCTGAGGCAGTTCGCTGTCCCTGGTAGAAGCCGTTGGCGACGCTGCTCGAGTCCATGGTACGGGTGCGCTGGCTTGCCATCTGGTCGTGATCGCCATAGTATCCCGGGTACTGCGGGCGCTGCTGGTGCTGCTGCGGGGGGTACTGGCGCTGCTGCATGGCCTGCTGGTGCTGGAACTGCTGGTGCTGCTGGGCGTGCGAGGACATCATGCTCTGGGTCCTGCCTGGGTCCTGCGGTGGCGGGCCCGTCATTGTCTGCGACCTGCCCGACGGCGGAGCGCCGAATATGTTGCTGAAGGCGGCGTCCCTCTGGGGATGGGCCTGGTTGGGATATCCGCCGCCTTGGGAGCGCTGGGGAGGCGCTCGGGGGTCATAGTGATAATCGGCCATGTTTGGGGGCTTCGGCTGCAGAGAGTGGAAACGAGGCGTCAGCAAGCAGGGGAGAGAAGGGGGAGGGGGACGACACGGGCGGCTGCAGGTGGCAGAAAGGCAGGCAACTGTGGCGCGAGTCACGGCAGCAGCAGCAGCAGCAGATGATGATGAATTCAATTCCTTACCGGCACAAAGCCTCAGAGTAGGCCGCTCTCAACCCAAGATACCAGGAGCAACTAGGTCGTCAGATGACGCAACGACGGTAGGCGTCGACGGTAAGGGAGGAGGAGGGGGGTATTCTGTCGTCGTCGCCAGTCGGGAGGGGGGTCCCTTAGCCCAGGCAAGGTTACGTCGTCAGGGTTGTCGGTGATCGGGAGGGGGTAGAAAAATGCAACTGCTCTTCTCAAATCCAGTCTCGAGATAAAAGGGAGAGTTGGAAAGACACGAGGTCAGATGAGTATGCGCAGCGCTCCGTCGCCTAGTCGTCGTCGTAGACAATCGTGGGTGGCGGGAGACCTGAGAGGGGAGGCGTCGATCAAGGTGTGACGATTTCCTCGAGATTCTTCACCTCGCAGCCACCATCCGGAGATGCTGGAGCGGGCCGCTCAGAGCTTGTTGCAGAAATCGAGGGGGATCCTCGCGGGCGAAGAGGGAGGGGGGGAGGGGGGGGAGGGGGGGAGAGAGGAGACATCAGTATGAATGGGATGCATGAGAACAGAAAAGACGAGAGAGAGAAGGAAGAAAAAGCGAAAACTTACC